TTATTATTATTATTATTATTATTATTATTATTATTATTATTATTATTATTATTATTATTATTATTATTATTATTACTTTTTGGGGGGTTACCTTGAATGATAAAAGAAACATAAAGGTAAATCTAATTAACTGTTAAATAAAGAATTAAATATATAAATAAATAAATAAATAAAAACTAAATAAATTAATAATTACTTTTTTTGCAATACCAACTATTATTTGATGGACCATTAACAGGTTCGGGAAGACCAGGGAAATTAAGTAATCGACTTGTATAAATCGCTAAAGGATGAGTTTGAGTTACTGGTCGACTTGAAGTAGGACTATTACCAATTGGTTGTGGCATATTATTATCTGATGCAATAAATGATGCACTAACTGGTGTTTCTTTACCATCACGTAAATCCCAATACCATTGATGAAATTTTTCATATAAATTTTGAGCGTTAGGTCTTTTCTTTGAATTTGCATCCCAACAACTTTTCATTAATCTTGCATATGGTTTTGGAGTAGTTTCATCAATTTCTGGTCGTGTCCCTCGACAAATATCTAATGCCAAAGATATATCATGAGCACGATCAACAAATGGAGGTTGACAAACTAATACATCCCACATTATCATTCCAAAACTATATATATCTGCGGCAAACGTATATTTTCCTCCTCTTAAAACTTCCGGCGCTACATAAGGTAATACACCATAAATTTCATTTTTATCTTTCGTTTGCATTTTACTTGCTGGTCCAGTCAAACCTAAATCGGAAATTTCTGTCACTTTACTTTGTAAAATGTTTCCAGTATGAAAATCCCTATGAACATATCCTGCTTGATGAATTTTATTTAATCCTTCAACGACTTGTTTTAAAATTAAAAGTTTTTGTATCCAATTTAATTCATCCTGGCGTTGATCTAAATAATTCCTCAAATTTCCATGATGCGCATAATATAATACTATAATATAATTTGTTGTTATTGGATCTTGTGATATACCATAACAACGAATTAATCCAAATCCTCCACCACATTGGATACATGTCTTTATCTTTTATTATTTTTATTTATAATATAATAAAAAGAAATAAAGAAATTTTATTAAAAAAAATAATTAATATATTTTTATATAATCATTATTCAATTTTGTTAAATACAATATTTAATATTAATTCATATCAATTTCTTACTTCATTAAAGAATTCAAAATCTATTTCTTTAGAGGAATCTAAAGATTTCAAGGCAACTCTCCACCGATTTATTCTTTCCCATTGACCTTTTTTATCATCCCATTTTTTAATGAAACCATCAATCCAAACTGCATAATAGACTTTAGCAAATCCTCCTTGAGCAACGAATTTGAAATCCTTTAATCGATTATACGGTATCCATTCTAATACTTGACTGTTACTTCTTGCTGTTAATTGTGAATCACGGATAAATTTATCAATTACTGGACTACCACTTGTCCAATTATTAAAATTTTTACGAAACCTTTCCGCATTGCATTTTTGACACCAATTCGTATGGGTATTTGGTTTTTTACACATTTTACATTCACCATATCTTTTAAGAAGAATTTTTGGAGAAGTAGGTTGACTTTTATTATCTGTTCGTTTATATATAGGCCAAATTTGATTCATTTTTGATGAAAATTAAAAAATAAAATAATTATTAAATTGTGCGAAAATTTTTATGATAATTATTATAATTATTCATTGACCGCAGTTTGACGAGTGTAATTTATTTAAATATATCAAATAGATAAATTTGTGTAAGGGGTACATTAGCTTGCGTTTTTATTTACAGAATGTCTTTTTATGAACATTTACTTTACACATGGCTCCATTCGATTTTATCACATAAAATTAAAATAATCAAGTGAATTTTTTAGGATAATTAAATGAAATAGGAGTTTTTTTTGGACTAGATTTCAAGGTTTTAACACAAAAATAAGTATTATTTATTAATTATCGCTGTTTTCGAATTGGTCTGGTCAGGTGGTCTGTGATACAAAAAAATTACTGCGGAAAATTCGATAATGTAATTAAAGCTCCTAATGCAGGGACACGTAAAAATTATTTGGATTATTTCAAATATTTATTTGGAAAATTGCAAATATTTGAATAAATTTGGATAAAATTTTACTAATAAATTTTCTTTTTTTAATGATGGTTTTTATTAT